CTGGATGGGGCCCTGAGCAACCTGGTCTAGTGGAAGGTGTCCCTGCCCATGGCAGGGGGTGGAACCAGATGATCTTGAAGGTTACTTCCAGCCCAAAACATTCCAGGATTTTATAAGTCTATGTATATACAGACAGATAGGATGGGAAATTTCCCTGGGTTACTGCACTGCACAATGTTTTGAAACCTGCAGCAGTACCAGGAAGCTGAGGGGGCAGAAAGGCCTGGGAAATGCCTCTAGAAGCAGTTAACAACTTGCCTTCTCATAATCTGCTTAATGTTGTTTAACCTTAGCACATTTGGGGAGATTACACTAAATCCTCATGCCAAGAAGCTGTGTTTGAACTTCCCTGCTTCTCAAGGAAGCCCGAGGTCCTTCCCACCTCAGGAAGAGAGTCCCTAAAGACAGTCTGGGAAGGAAGTACTTATGGTGAGTGTAGTGTAGGGATGAGTTGAGCACAAGCTGCCCTGGAGCAGGACAAGAGCCAGCTGCTCACTGTGCTGTGCTGTGGTGGCACAAGGAGGGTGGATGTCACTGTCAGGGTCCTCCTCTCCCTCCTGCTCTCACTCTCCACTCTGGGGACCTGGTTCAGCTCTCAGTTCTGCCTCCTCCTCTCACAGCTCCCAGCAAGATTCTTCCTAACTTAAGTCATACACAGCCCGACTGCTCTGCTAATGCAAATCAGGTCTCAATAAACTCCCTGGAATTTCACCGCTGTGGCCCTTACTTATATAGCTCTGGCTCAGCTAAACATTTGAATGAACACTTAAAACCAAGTGCTCACTCAGTTTATGAAGCCTTACCTCTCCAACTTCTTTGCTTAATAAGGGCTGCAGAGTCAGACACAGCTTTCAGCAGAAAAGCTGAGCCTTTAGCAGTTGTATTTGCAAATAAATTAATTTCTTAACACTGCCAAGTGAGACAGAAACACAAGTTTACCACAGACACTCCCCAAAGTGTTCAAAACTAGTGATGCCACACATGTGGATTTCTGAGTATCTATAGCAGAAATGGCCTTTGAAAGACATTTGGGGTCATGAAGAAAAAACTGATCCAATATCCTCATCCCATTTCTAGCTTTGCTCTGAGGGTTTTGTTGTTAATGACTCACATCTCTGACAAAATGTGTCCGTGTGAATGATATAGAAAACAGTGGGAGAACAGACATTGACTGTGGAGATCCCAAACATGTCAGTGTGAGCAGCTGAGGGCTGGGATGGTTCACAGCAGACACAAGAGACCAGAGGACTCATTTTTTAGCTGGATTATCCGACACAGGATGTCAACTGTACTTATGGATATCTGATGTTAAAAAACATTTTTGTGCCTCGGTTCTCATCTCACATACAGGGCTATAATGAAGGAATAATTCTCTTGGAACAAATATCATTACCAGGATGAGATCAGATTCAATCCTTTCTGTCATTGGAAAGACTCCTGCTGAACTTCAATGAACAAAACCACAGATGCAAAAATCCAAGTGGCATAGATACAAATTATATACATTTATTTTTATTCATTTTAAATAACATTCTTCTGTATAAATTCTGACATATATTCAAATCATACACTTTTTTTTTCTTTTTAGAAATGCATTTGTAAGCATAGCATATGCTTGGGAGACGCCGTGTTTGGACGTGTAGTGAGACTGATGGGTTTCAGTTGGGAGCAAGTACAACTTTTAAGGCCCACATTTTTCTTATTTTAATCCATTCCTCTGACACACAAAGAGCAGAGTCCTGTGGGAGCTCATTCTAAAACTTCACTTTAAAGAGAAAAGTATTTTTATACCCTTTATTTAAAGGAGACTGTGCAAACTTTCTGCCACGTTTACATTGCCTGTAACACTGAAGGTAACAGTGCTGCACAGCAGTGGTTAACTGACCCAGCATACCTGAAGGATGCTCAACACATCCGTTCCTCTTTCCTAAATGCTAAGTTTGCTCAGCCTGGCCCAAGGGAATTACCATTCCAGGGGCTGACATCTCCTGACAGCTCCCCAGGGCCAGCGCTCCTCGCAGCTATTTCCAGCCACGGCGGTTCACGAGACTCGAGATCATCTATTCTCATTAACCCAACCCCTTCTCTGCACATCTGCTGCACTCTGTGCTCACCAACTGCTCTCCCCAGCCGTGAGCCCTCCAGGCTGCCCCAGGCCTGACACACCTTTGTGCCCTTTACTGCCTCTCGCCTTTACTGCAGAACTGGGCTCACCCCATACGGACCAGCCCGGCCCTCATGACCCCAAGGATCGTGCCTTGAGGTGGTTTCCCACACCCACCCAGCCTCCCCTGCCCTGTTGTGCCTTCTCTGAGCTCTGCAGCTGCCACGCCACGACCCCATTCTCTGGGGTCTCCTCACTGCTGGATCCGGGCAGAAGGTGCTGCCCGGTGGCCCCTCAGGAATGCCACATGTAGTTGTACCGTCACCTCAGCCCTACAAGATGCCTCCCCCTGCCTCGCTGGCTGCTGAGCTGGGCCTCAAAGCAGCCCTGAGAGTCCATTTCTGGTTTACCTGCCCCTACCCCAACAGGGCATAACCTGAGCACCTGGGAAGCCTCATGACAAGCTATGACACAGGTCATGGTCCTGGTGACCTTCATTACCCAGCAGAGGTGTTTGAGCTCTGCACCCCCTCCAGTCAGAGCTGACTAGAGACAGAGCTAGCTCAGCCTCTTCCTCCCCTCTGTGCTGCCAGGTATGATTGATGAGAGCACGGAGGATCTGGTCTCACATCACCAAAGCCAAACACAAAGCTGTTTATTCTTTCCTTGCTGAGGCATCGACCTCCTCCTCTAACTGTTGTTCTCGAGTGCCAAGGCCTGGGTGGCAGGAGGTGGCTGGTGGGTCCCTGCTGAGTCATTCTCCCATCTAACAAGCCTTGTGCCAGTGCCACATCCTCGCTGTGCCCTGCTAAAGGACATCCTGTGCTTTCCTCTGCCATCCAAGCCTGGGCAGCCAGGTCCCTCCTGCCCAACCAAGCTTCCCATCACACCTGCGAGGCTGTCTACATCCCTTCATCCAGATGTGCAACCCACAGACAACAGCTGTACTGCCCCCCCCCTCGCATCCTGACTGCAGGGCATCCTGACCTCCTCCTCTGCCCAAACACAGAGTGTTTGGAGCACTCTGAAGGTCAGAAACAGCCCAGGTGCCAACACCTCCTGTGCTGTGGCAGGCAGGGACTAGGAGGGCTCAGCACCTGAGCCCACGCTCTGCTTGTGCAGATGGTCCTTATTTCTACAGTGAGACAAAAATCCTAGTCTGTTCCCATTACAAAGCAGCCCAGTCACACCAAAATTTGAGGAAGAGGTGTTTTGTGGCAGAGATTAAAAGATCTACTAAAGTATTTTAGAAACATTAAAGTGAACAGTCTGTCCTTCACTTTGCCCTCTAGTATCACTCCCCAAAACTAACACTTCCTAAATTACCTTACCCCACCCCATGAAGTGACCAAGTGCAAGTGTATCACTAGATTAGCAATGCTAAATAATTACAATTTTTAGGAAATTTTCTATTTCAGCACCACCCTGCTCTTTAAGAGTTCGGTGAGTAACTCCAGGATTAGCAATATCCAGATTTTCTCCTCCAGTCCTCCCCCGTTTTATTACTAAAAGTAACCCCATTATGAATGACATCAGCCAGATTTATTACCTAAACTATGGGACCTCACCCAGGCCCACAGCAGGCAACTGCAGCTTTCCCATTGGGCCTATATGCAATTCCACACTCTGCCCTCACCATTTCCCTTGGTCAACCTCAACTATTTCCCTCCTGCCTTGTCGTGCCTCATCTTCAATTCAAATTTTGAGGCAGAAATGGCATCTTTGTGCATGTGTTTAAAGCACCTATTTCCCCCCCCTCCCAAGCCTCCAAAGATAAGAAAAGCCTCCACGCAGCACCAGCAATCAAATAAATAACCACCACATTCTCCCTACCATTTTTCACCTGGAGAAATACCCACTCTTGCCTGGCTCTGAGGATGCATCCGCCAGCTCCTGCTGACCTTTAGCAGGTACTTCACTGAACCTCAGCATTAATTGCTGGTGAAGCCTCACCATGAACAGCAACACAGCTGCAGCTCTGGGGCTGGGCAGGAGTGAGGTGAAATATTTGTTCCATGCCCCGTTTCAATGCAATGGTTTGATTTCCAGGGGCGGGACCCCCGTCTTGAGGCTCACAGGCTGCATGGACCAGCTGAGGAGCTCCCTGGTGTGACCTCCCCGTGCTGTGCTGCCTGTTTGGTGTTCTCCCTCTGCAAACAGCCCACCAGCCTCCCACAGAAATCAAGGGACTCTCTAAAACCTGTTCCCTGTAGGTTTGTTTGACAGCTGAACCACCCCCCACCTTGTGCTACGTTAAACTCCTGAAACCACCCATGGTGCACTTTTACCTGTTGAGCCTCGAAGTGCAGATCTGCCCCTGTGAGCTCCTCATCTCAAAGCTGTCTCCACCCAAAACCCAGGAGACCTTTGCTTTTGCCCCTCGAGAGGCCAGGAGGCTGCACTCAGCCCTCTGGCACATCTGCCCCCTCAGAGGTGGCGATGGGATCCCTTCACCCCATGAGCAGCTGCTTCAGAGAACCTCAGCCATGGAGACCAGGCTCTCAGTGTGTTCATGACAGTGAATTTGCATTTTGGATAGAGATTTAAAAGCAAACAACAGATTGGTACATCCGATTTTTGGACACCTCCTCGGCCCTAGTCATGGCAACACTATATTTAAAGGAATGGCAAGATTTGACAGATGCAAGTAGGGAGCACTCACATTTTCTCTAAAAAAGAAAGTTATTCAATGACACTAGAAGAAAAGCTTTAAGCAGTCGTTGTTTGCCAGAGGCCCAGCTCCAACAATATTGCCATCTCATTTACATTATTTTAAACAATCCTCATGTTTTGTTTTTGTTTTAATGCCACTAACCGCTGTACAATTAAAATCTAGAGGATAAAACATGACCTGGGGAGTAGGGGAGGTTGGGAAGGGGTTCATGGTTACGTTGTTGGGGTTTTTTTTTTTGGTTGCTTGGTTGTCTTTTTTACAAATAATTACAAATACAATTCCAAGAAGATATATTACATTTTATATACAGAACACACCATTTCTATCAGGGTAGGGTATTAAGCCTGGCTTTTATTTTTACACGGCAACCCTGAGATGTCTTGTCGTCTTCCCTTGCACAGAAACTATACAAGTTCATTAACTCCTTCTAGAAAAAACTGGATTGCTATGCTTTAATAGCATCATCACCCTGTATAAATACTCAGAAAGGGAAAAGCTTAGTCTCTTCCCTAATTTAAATGTTCTCATGATTTTTATCCTGTTTCCCTGCTTAGTGGAAACAGATAACGGTGACTTTTTTTCAAGTGTGCAACTCACTCCTCTACTTGCCTTTTAGTAGCACAGTGAACAATTATTTCCCTTTTTTTTGTCCTCCTTTCAAACAAATTTCTATCAGGAACTAAAATGATGCCTTTCTAAAAGGTTTGTTTCCTGAAATTCCACTGTTACTTCATGAGCTACTTCTCAAACTAAAGGATGCAGACACAAGTGTTGGGTTGGCTGGAAACGAAGTAGCTTCTGATCCCTCACCGGGGTTCTGCTCTGTCCACCCCACCACCACTTCATAACAAAATGTTTCAGACCAGCACAATCAAGTGTTTAACAACAGTGAATTCTGTGGATCTTTATGGAGAACAGGACACTGAATGCATTTCACCACGTTACCTGGAATTCGGATGTACTACACTGCCTTCTGTTCACCTGCAAGCTACAGCACGCCCAGCATCAGAGTATCTGAAGAGCAAATTCCTCTGCGTGGAGCCTTGGCACGGATCCTGACACCCCTTCCACAAGCCCTGTAGCTTTTTGAAGCCAACTTTGGAATAGCTGGATCGCTCCTAAGCTTTATAATTATGCATGGGAGTCGTCAGCGTTAGCTGTCCGTTCGGTGCCACTTCATTCCCGTCGTCCTCCAGCAGCCCCGACACGTCGGCGTTGGGAATGCTGTCGTGGTAGCTGCTGAAGCTGATGTTGTCCTCCTTGAGCTCAATGGTCCAAAAAGGAGCGTTCAGTTTTCGGTTCTGATACTCACGGTACATGTAGACGGCGCCCACAAAGCCCATCAGCAGGACCACCACGATGATGATCACCGTCAGGATGATGATGTTGAACTGAGTCCACGACACGTCTGCGAAGGCAGAGGTGCTGTTGTCAGAGGAGCTGACGGGGAATATCGTCTGTAGAGTTGTTGGGGACAATGTACTGTTCAGCACCGCCGTGGAAAATGATGTTGCCTTGGTGGTGTTTGGAGCAGAAGTTGTAAACTCCCTTGTTTCTGGGCCAAGAGTGGCTTCTACAAAACAAATAAGAAATGATCAATAAAAATCTGCTAAGCTGGAATCGAACACAAACAGAACAGATTTGACATTTATATCAGTTATTATGGCAGTTAAGTCTACACTGTTAAAGCTGGTATTTTTTTTTAAATAGTTTACAAAATGGTTCGCCATTATTACACTAATTCTGTGTGCTAAGTGCCCATGGACTGCAGCATCCCTATGAAAAATCTGGTGCTGGAGGGATAAGTGAAGTAGTCAGGATTCAGTGTTCCATACATGAGCCAGTGATGAGAGCAAGTCACCCAGCCCAGCTCCTGTTCAGCCCACAAAAACGGTGCTTTACCAAGCTCAGCACATTTAGACTCTGAACCAACGTGTCACTTGGTGTCTGCGTGGCTGCACAGTCAGGCTGGGAGGACACAGCAACTCCAGGAGCTTAAACCCCTCACAACCAGTGCACCAGATGCAGGATTATTTTCATGACATTATTTCTGTCTTACCTGTACAAACAAGAAGATCAAAACTGAGAAAATGAACCACAAGTATTCAGCCATCACAGCCTTTAGCAACAGGTTTCAGTGTTTGCACTGCTTTAGGTAAAAGGGCAAAAAACCTCAGTTCTGCTTTTGAGTGAGGAAGTTGTACACAAACCTCACAGAAACCCCCTGCCTGCACAGCCAGAAGGAGAAGGTGACCAAATCACAACAAAAAAAAGACTGTGGATGTTCTTATGGAGCGTTCAAACACAGCAGGGGCCAGTTGGGATCCCGTGTTGGTTTCAGCTGCTGCCACATGAGCATGGATGAGAAAGAACATGGGAACTACCAGAGTGTGCCACGAGCTCTGCTTTCTTCTTGGCACTAAATATCCAAGAACCTGCCTTGCTTCCAGCAGCCATGGGATAAGTACTTTCTCAGATCTAGGAGTCAGTGACAAGTCAACACTGGAAATCTCATAATTGGGATGCAAAGTCATTACGCCTGCATCAAACCAGCTGAGCCACAGGCCTCAGAGAGCACCATAAATCCTGAGTATTAAGCTCACAAAAGTAACTAATAAAGCATTTCCTCACATGAATAACCTGATCTATTTTAGACTCTCAAGTCTAGGCAGCAGGAACCCTCCAGAAGCTGAAGCCTCAATCAGCCAGAATGTTCTCTACACCTATTGCTCCACAGGACTCTCTTCACCCTCTTTCCCACTCTCTTCCTGCTCTCGGAAAAGCAACTTCATTTTAAACCCACGTACAGCTGCAGCAATTAGAGCTGATGGTGCTGTACAGATCCAGCTCTCCTGAACATCTACTAATTATGACTGAGGAGGAGAGTCACTTCCGAAGGACTAATTTTGCACTAAGTTGCATCTCCAGTGGCAACAGGAGCTGGAAATACTCAGCACATCTCCTGCCACGGGTCCTCAGGGGAACTCCCACGAGTTAACTTTGGGCTGTCACGTTCCCAGTTCATGCAATGAAGAAATGCCTCTGGAATGGGCATCACACACCTAATGGAGCCTCCTGCTCAGAGCCCCCTCCCTGCAGCAGCTCCTCTATTATCTGCAGGTCCTGCCTTAGGCTGATAAGGATACTCAGGATGCTGAATGCCAGAAGGTGTTTCTCTATGGGATAATGGGCAGAATTCTGCAGTAGGAAGCAACATGATATGAGCAAGAGGTTCCTGGAAAACCTTTGACTTTGGGAAAAGGGCATGAGGAATTCAGTCATCCTTCCCAAATTCCTTCATCAACACTCAATCCTTGGCAAGCCCCGCCAGCAGCTATAATTAGGGAAAAAAACAGAACAGAGACAATGGCTGATTCACCAGCAAGGAAACAGCACTTTTCTGGGCTTTATTTGTGAGTCAGCATCAGCTCAGTGCTGGCACGGAGGCCCTGGGTGAAGACATTTCCTGCAGCTCCCGGTGACAGGGCGGGCAGTGCCGAGCTCCGGCCGCGGCGTCGCTCCAGGGCCGTGCCACGGCGCTGCCTGTTCCGCTCCCGGGGCCGTGCCAGCTCTCCAGATGTCCCAGAGCAGCTCCTTGAGAGCAGCAGCTGTTCGCTCAATGGGCTGCTTTGGCAGCTTTGACGTGAGCATCACATCCAGCTGCTTGATTGAGATGCCAGCTCGGCAAAGCTTCTGCTGCCTCCCGCAAGGAGTGAGCTCCGGCGGGAGCCCACGCGCCAGCTCCCGGGTGGCACAGAGCCACACTGCACCACTGAGTCCTTGCTCTGCCTCACCATGGCAGCAGGAACACCATCCCCTCTGGGACTGGGAACACTGACTTTAGTCACCCCGCACGTCCTTGGAGTATTCTCTCCATCAGCCTTGAAACCATCAGAATCTTGGTCGGGTTTAAGGCTCTGTGGGTACCCAGGGCTGGGTTTAGCTTTGCTCAGGCTGTGCAGAACCTGCTGTCTCCTTTCAGCTGCCATCACTGAAACACAACTTGGGTGATGATTTCACTCCAGAACTGGGCCACTCCAATGCACTCGTGGTTTAGGAAAATCTTAACCTAAAACCAGTCAATGCTCAGTACCTCAGCATGTCAATTTTTAGGCAATTTGTGTGTAAGAAACGGGAAAGAAACCACACACATTTTTAACTGCTTAATAAGAAAGGGGAAAAACAAGTGTCAGAGAAAGAGGAAAGCTCAAAGAGCATGTCCCAGACCCTGTGAAAGGCAACAATCTTCCCCCACATCAGGAACTGCCTATAACAATGCCATTAAAATAAAACTGAATGGTGAAAGCTACAAGTACACAAGCAAAGCCATATATATGGATTTTAATGGAGCAAGGTCATGTGGATCTTTGCACAAAGCCAGAGCTGTGCAGGGGGAGGTAATGGATGAGCTGATGCAAAAGTGCTGTTTCCAGCTGCATGACAGCACTGTTACAGCTAATGAGCCTCCAACTTTGCTGTATTGATCACCTCCCTGAGCAGGGAAGGACTCTGTGATTACATGTCCAGAGAGCAGCACGGGACTAAAAAACCACATTAGCTCCTGATGGAAGATCTGAATTGAATCTCTGTTGGTGATAAGGCCGAATTTATGCCCAGACACTTCCTTGCACTCTGGGTTCTCTCATCTAATACATCACACCAGTAATATTTCCACGAATGGAGCTGAAGATCCAATGTAAGGACCAACCTCCAGATAAACACTGAAGGAGCAACTTCAGAGTCATTTTCTTTCATTTTAGTCCAAGTTCTCCTGCTTGGACTTAAAGCAGCCCCTTTAAGCACCAGAGTTTGCACCTGAGATGCTACAAACAGTGGATTGGAGACTGATGAGACCCCCCCAGAACTGCTACCAGCAAATTCTGGTGTTGACTCTCTCTGAAAGTTTGGATCTCACCTTTCTGAGCTTTGGCTTACTCATTTAGAAAGAAAAAAAAACACAGAATACCTAAAGTTGGGCCAAGCAGCTCTTGTTTGCAGGGTGTGAAGAGTGATAACATTAAGAACAGCCTTCCTAGGGAACCAGCCAGTGCTATGGAATGGAACAGTCAGTAAGGACAGTTCACAGGGCACTATGACATCCCAAGTCTTCGTTCACGAAGCCCAGCCATGATGACATCAAGCAATGGAAGTCTGAAAACCTACACTTAAATTCACTGCAAATAGGGTTTTCTTTTCCAGCTTGTTCACTAACAGTGTCTGCCACAGTCCAGAATCAGACCACACTTCAGGGCCAGCAGGCACCAACACATTACAAACATCCAGCTTTCTTCCCTCCACCACAGGCCAGATAAACCTAAACCAACGCGAACAACCAACGCTGCTCCCTCTCCAAGCTGCACAGGGGGCTTTGGCAGACCCGAGGAGCCTGTTTTACCTTTCCTGGTGCAGTTGCTGCCCTCAGGGTCCCTGGTGTAGCCCTCCTCGCAGCGCTCGCAGTAGAAGCCGGCGGTGTGGTAGAGGCAGCCGATGCACTCCCCGCTGTCGGGCCGGCACACGCCGGGGGAACGCGCCGGGTCCACGTTCCCGTGGCAGTTGCAGCTGACGCAGATGCTGTCGGAGTTGTAGTAGCCCTTGTCACACCGGTTGCAGTTGAGGCCCGTGTAGCCCGTTCTACACTGGTCACACCTCGGCACGGTCTCGCCAGGCTCTGGGGGACACAGGAAGGAAAGCAGGGATGTGCCGCAGCCCCTCTGTGAGAGGCACGGGGATTTTTCCCCACAGGGCACTCTGACAAAAATCAGCAGCACCCAAGTATTAACCAAACTCCAGTTTTTGAGCTGGAAACACAGTTTTTGAACTGCAGCAGTTTTTCTCTGTTCCTAGGGGGAAAAGCAGCTTTAGGAGTCTCTGATGCCTCACACCAGCCTCACAGAGCACTCTCAGCACGTTGCTAAGGAAAGAGATCATTACTCCTGAATATTTCCGTCTCAAACAGGCAATTTCAGAGAACAGCTGGAACTATATCAGGAATGCTTGTCATCTGCAAGAACTTTTTGGCCTATAAGAAGCCAGAAGTGCCTTGATTGCAAAACTGATTAAGGAAGTATCAAAAAAAGTTATACATATGATTATTACAGCCATGACTTCTCTCAGTCACATTGGGGAATCTCTACTTGGAGTCCCATGGAGATGTTCAGAAGCAGGCTCAGAGGTATGGATGGCTACATGGTACCGCTGGGCACCTCTCCTGGCTGCCACAGGCTCAGCAGTTTCTCTCTGCAAAATTTTGCAGGTTCTTCAGAGCAGGCTGCAGCAACACACTGGGAGTTAGACCTAGACTTTTAAGATCCCTTCCAACCTAAACCAGCTGATGTGATTTTATGACTCTATGCTCCCTCCACTGCACAGCCACTCTCACCAGAGGCAGCACAAGCACCAGGGACACGTCACAGCAGGAGCTACTTCCACAAGGTGCCCACAAACAGGAGATTCACAGGCTGTAAAACACCTCACTGGGCTGATGCAGTCTGAGGGGCAATTTAACAGAAGAGAGCAACGCTCATTGTGAGGAATTAGAGCAAAAGAAAAGGCTCACGTAAGCGGCAGGTGCCGGTGGATGCCACGGTGGAGCAGGGGCAGCGCTGGCAGGCGTGGGCAGGATGGGCGCTGCGGTAGAAACCCTCCTTGCAGAGCTCACAGTGGTCCCCCTTGGTGTTCTCCTGGCAGTTCAGGCAGGTGCCTGGGGAAGGGAGAGGAGCACAGGCAATGGTTCAGCAGCAGGAACTGGAGCAGAACATTTGGAGCAAGAATGCGCGTGGAGCGCTCTCAATTATCGGAGGTCACAGGTGGGTTTGGATGCCCTCTGGCCAAAACATGATCCTGGCCTCTTATGACCTTCTGATGCTCATCCCCTCGTTCCACACACACAGATCATGTGAAAAAGCAGGTGGCCCCAGAAGAGAGGCCCCACAGCTCATCACTGAAAGGTCACTGCAGGTAAACAGGGCCTACCAACGTTAAACTCTCCTCAAGGAAAGGAATTTCAGTTTGCCTTTGCAACAGTGAGATGGAATTTTGAAGCTTCAAGTCTCCCACCCCCACAAGGGGTCCCTCGGGTTTATGTCTTCGGGTTTTTTTGTGTGCAGCCACTTCCTACACCCCAGAGCTGGTGGTGAGGGGTGAGGGTGTGCCACCGTCCTGCTCTGGGGACAGGCTGTTCCATCCCACCAGCGTGGCTCCAGCTTCTCCATCCCCAACACAGGAGAAGGCAGCAGCGAGTCACTGACCTTCCCAGAGGAACAGAGGAGAACTGGGGGCTCACATGAGCCACCTCCCCTTCCTGGGGAAGCCCCTGAATCAGAAAGTTGACGTGCCGTGTCTCAGCAGAGGCTGTGTCCTAATGGCCTCCAAATTGCATTTTGATACCACTGTGACCAGAGAAGAAAAATCTCCCTAGTTACGAAAGCACAGCCTCTATCCAAAGCCCATCCATCACCAGGAACACGCTGTAATTCAGCCAGCTCCTCAGTGAGGTGGCAGGGAGCTGAGGGAAGCTTGTGTGATTAAATCTCAGTACCACGCTCTGCAAAGGCAACAACCCCCTTCTGTAAAGCAGAGTGGCACAGAGCAGCATATTCACCTCATGTGAGAGCACAGATTCACTGAGCTGATCCAGCAGTGCTGCTGGGGGATGGAAAAGTCTCATATCAACACCAACCACAGGGAAAAAATCCTGATTTAGGTTAATGCTGGCTGTTAAAAAGCCCACAATAGATTTTCTTATTAATATCGGAACAGTTTGGCTCCCTCACAAGCCCAACACACTGCATGGCTCCTGCTCCTCTCTTTCCACAGCGATGACTCTGCAGCTGAGCATCCCTGAGCCAGCCTGGAGTGTCCTTGCAGCCAATCTCTGGGCTGAGGGCAGGAAGCAAACCCGGGAAGCAGCTGATTCACCCCCAGCAGGGCGCTGACAGCACCCTGATGACTACAGACACTTGCTCGGCGTCAGCTCCCACCCACTGCTTGCTCTTCCCTCAGCAGCCTGTCAGACACGAGCCAGTGGTTTTTGTGGGAGAGATGTCAGGGTTAGAGGGGAAAATTATCTGCTGGGCTCGGTTTCTCCAGCAGCAAACCCTGATCAGCTGTTCCAGCAGGATGGATTCCTAGGACAGGGCAACTCATGGGAAGTTCATTTTCCCGGCCACAGCACAGGTGCCTTGGACTGTCCTCCACAGGCATCAATGGGGGCATAAATCTGGAATCACACTTGCATTGTCTGCACAGTCTTGGTCATTTCAGGACCAGTGCCTTTCCCATGGGCAGAAATCACTCACATTTATCCCCACCAGCCCTGCAAAATGGCTGCATTTCCATGAGTCAGCACATTGCTCAGCCCTGCAGAGCACGCACAGGCCTGCCATCAGGTATCACTGTGGAAAGCCTTAATAATTAATAGCAGTTCTCATCCCAATAATGCCCTCAGGAAGGATCAGACCTCACAGTACCCCAGCTGGGAAGAACCAACCCACCTGATTGCACAGACACACCACAGGGTGCAAGGGTCGTGTCGGAGGAAGTGCTGTCGCCTGGGGAGCTCTCACTGCCCAGTTTATTTATTTATGCCCAGTAATTTTGAATATTCCTCCTGGACAGAGCAATACCAAGCAGGAACCAGCTGCAGAGCCGGCAGAGGGAGCCCAAAGTACAGCATTAATGGGAAAAAAAAAACCTTGAAAATTTGACAAAGACTACATAGAGTCGATGCAAAGCTGGGGAGGTCACACAGAGTGCAGCCTCTAAAGCAAGCTGAGTGTTCTCCTTATTTATTAAGTATCAAATCTAATCTTTAATTGACTGTTCTCTGTTCTGGTTTTGTTGGGTTCCCCCACCCCCAGATGGAGGAAAATTTAAAAAAAAAATAATAATATTTTTGTCAAATCAACAAAAGGTCATTAACCAAAATTAGGGGTTTTCATTGCAATGCCATGGGCAGCGATGGGCAGCAGCAGCAGAAAGGCTGCCTGAACAGCCCCATCCCAGGGACAAGGTCTGTGCTGGGTTTTCTTCGGGTTTTGTTTCATAAATCGAAAGCAGGGAGAACACTGAGGGGGGAAAAAAAAAGGAAAAGCAGATTATCCTCCTCCTTCACAAAACCCACACACCCAGCTCCAAATCAGTAACACAGCTGATGTGTGCACAGCTTTAGGGACAGTCTCATATCCTTCAATGCTGGTAGGACATAAGCACATTGAGCTCAGAAGAGGAGAGAATGCAGTAATTCATCCTCAGGGAAATGCAGTAATTCATCCTCAGGGAGCACAGATCCGGCGCCCGCCGCTAACGCCGAGCGGGATCGGGGCACCAGCACTGCAGCTGCCTGTTCCTCTGCTGCCAACACACAGCCCAGGGGGGAACACTGGGGCAGAAACTGCCCAGAAACACCTCACTTGATGGCCTCTGCCTCTCTGCCAGCTACACAAAAGCTCTTCAACATTAGCTTGAATTATTACCCCTTTCTAAGCTCCTGGATAAATATCACAGAACCACATTTCAGCTGGAAGTTTGGATGAGAATTTGGATTCTTAAGGGAGCCCTGTGGCTGAAGTGAGGGTTGCACAGGCAATCACATAACATCTCTCCTCTGGGATCTGTCCTTCCAGTGGAGATGGGAAAGTGATTAGATTCCCCTCTGCCCTCCCATAAGCTGTTCAAGCACAGGTGCCTGGACATTTGCACTTCATCAACATCTGAGTGAGAGACAATCAAAGAAACGATCTAGGAAAATGAACACGGCCAATTTATAAAAAGTGGGCAATATTAATTAGGGGCTGCCAGTTTTTTCCAGCTCTAATCCTGCTATCTGTAGCAAAATGTCCCCTTACTTCAGTGCCAGTACAGTATATATTTCCAGGTAAACAGCAGTTAAACAAAAGCTCTTAAAAAGCCCATGTTTTGTGTTTATGTAAGTGCAGAGAACAATAGAGCCCTGATTTTCGATACAGACTGCTGAATTAAGGCTCTGCATTGCAGCCTGGGGTAAAACACACAGCCTTTATTACCTTCCTTCAAAGAGGACCAGCTCCATCCTCACCCTGCACTTCCATTTCAGTTTTAAGGTAAAAATTTTGGGTGCTCGAGGCATAAAGATGTAGATGAAGGGGATAAGAGCAGAGGTGTGTGAAAGCAAACAGCAAAAACCAGAGAGAAGGAGACAGGTGAAGTCTGCAGCCCCTGCACTCACCTGTTGAGCTGTTGCAGGTCTGGGAGTGGTTGTTGCACTGACAGGGCTCACACGTGGTTTCATTAAACCTGTAATATCCGTCACTGCACTGGTCACACTTCAGGGCCGTGACACCCACCTTACACTGGCACTTCCCAGAGCTGCAGAGGGAAAAACAAACACTGAAACCTGGCTGTACTGGAAGTCATCCAAGGTATAAACCTGCAGGGCAGGGTTTTGGACTTCATTCCCTCTTTTTCCTCCTTTCTGCTGGAAGCAGCACATGAAACCCACGAGCAACCGATTCCAAAAAGTGATGGGAAGTTCAAGAAAGGCCGAGTCTCTGCCAAGCCAGTTGCCCCGACAGCAATTTCCAGCTGGGCACCAGAAATCATGGCTCATTCTAGAAAGCTCTGGCCCAAAGCCATCCCATTGCATCAGCCCCAGCAGATGCTCTAACAGCCCCTCTCAGTCCCTGCTCCACCGAGCACCGGCCCCGGGTCCTGCAGGACTCTGGGACACCCGTGGTCACTGTGCCTGGACAATAGCAGAGCACCCACATGGAGAATGACCTCCCCTCCACACCAGTGCCGAGCAGCACCTCCCAGATTTTCGGGTGAACAGACAATTCCCTGCTCACCACCTGCTCCCCCGGGAGCTGGCACAGGATCTCAGGTGTCTCGCTCAGGTTCCAGCCAGGGCAGGTGTCAGCCACCTGCACTCCCTCCACTTCTCCTCCATGACCCCATTTATCCCTTCCACACAACACCTCCACGGATGGAGAGAGGGCAAAGCCTCTCTCCAGTTGACTTCTGCTACCCAGCAGGGCCAGGGAAGTACAAGAGAGGGTTTTCCCTTCCCCAGAGAAGGTTTCCACTCCAGCTGACCCCAGACAGAAGCTGTTTACTTGGGCACAGTGTGACTGCAGGAGGGTGGAGCCCTGCACAGCGAACACAGAGGGCATTGCTGGTGGCTGCCACGAGCAAACAAATACCAGGAGCTATAAAAAGCAAAGGTTACCCTCATTCCTTTGGCTTTCCAAGCCACTCTCTCCACACAGAGGCTTCAAACCCTTTGCTTTCATAATGCTGCTACCCTGGCAGCATTTAGCTCAGCTCTCCCAGGAATCACAGGAATGGATGAAATGCTCTTTCCCATCAAGCCCTGGGCACGGCAGTGGCTCATCCCACCTGCACACAGGGAACAGCCAACGCCTGAGCCGAGGGGCAGGGAGCACTGAGTGCCTCTCCACGTGTCTGAGAGCCCTGGGGTGACCTGCAGAGAACCTCAGCCCTGCCTGCTGCACAGGGAACCAGGACAGCAACCCAAATAAACAGGATTTGGTCTCCTCCAGGTGATGGATTTATCTGCACACGAGGCAGGTACCACCCACAGACACCCCTGCACGCTGCTGGATCTTCCTTCTTTTGGCTCTCCCCTTTATAACCTCCACCCTATTCAAACACCTTTTAAACACCTTTGAAATACCTTTTAAATTCAGTATTTCAGGGCTTGCTGTGCCTGCACAAAGCTCATCCATTGTTCCCCCTCTCCTCCAGCTGAATAGTGAGCAAGGCACAATTCACCTCTAAAAGCCTCCAGAAGAATCTGCTGATTAAAACTAATAGAGGCTCGATGCACTGTTGATGTGTTGTTTTTAATTAAAATGCAGTAGATTGCAATGTTTGGGAGAAGACGTTGCTTCTGTTAGAAATCAGCATAATTTAATATTTCTGTTGTTTGTTTGCTTGCCAAAGGAAGAGGAAACACCAAAACAGGGACCTCAGCCCAAGTGGCTACACAATTAAATAGTTCCAGAATCTGAAACCCCAGGCACATGTAATGGCCTGACTACAAGAAGGAAAAAGAAATATGATGTCTCCTTGCTCTCCAGACCATTATCTGGAAGGGCAGCAGGCAGATGCAGGATTCAAAGGGATGCTGGTAAGCAGCTCAGTATGTTTGACTTTTAAAGAGCTTTTCACAAGACCTGACATTAATCCAAACGTTGTCACAATGTTTAAAATAAGCGCAAACAAAAAGCAGCTTGTTTTTATTTGCTTCTGACTGCTACTGCCCAGATATTCCTGTAAGAGGGCAGGGCACAGGCAGAGCCAAGCAGAGAAAAGTAACTGATATGGGAAGGAAAATATGATATTTAGCCTGAAAACGAATCTTTGGGAGATGCACCCCCTGAGCAGGGTTTTGCAGGACCAGGCATTAAAGCTGCATCATCTTCACCCTCCCTGGCTTCCTCCTGCAGTCCAGGGAGCTCAGTTTTACTCCCTCCTGTCCCTGATGAGGCCTTTATCTTAATGACACCCTCCTCTTCCTCCTGGCTGGCCCCCTTCCACCCAGACTCCCACTTCATTTCATTAAAGGAGGTTTATTCCCCCAGTGACCCTGCTAGAGCTCAATGCAGCATTTTGGGGCAGAGTCCCTTGGTTTTACTTGTTAGCTTAAAAATAACAGGAAAGAAAGCTGTTTTATTTTTTTCTGAAGAAGTAAAAAAGACTGTTTTGGAAAGTTTGGTTTGAATGCCTCTCAAGCAGACCTTTTTTCAACATGTTACACATGGCAAAGAGCCAAGTCCTGCATGTGCAAGAATTAAATCACTCAGCAAATATAAAGCTTTGCCTGTGGTCATTGCTTCCATAGAATAAAGCCCCCTTACAACACTCCTTTTTATAGCTCCAGCCCAGCAAAGACTGTCAGACACTTTTTAAAGCAAAGGTCAATGATATAAATGCATTGAAACCACAAAAAAAAAAAAAATCCTGTTAACAGACCGATTGTGCCCATAAAAATCCAGAAATCTGAAAGAAAAGACCCACAGTTTAATACTTGCACAGCAAGAACTGAACTGGATTTTGAGTATCAGCCAGGAATTTCTTTTTTGGGGAAAGTGGGGGGAAGGAGGGGTAAGGGAAGAGGGAAACATTTTGATACAGCAACATCAATTGCTCAACTCCATTTCAGATGATGATTAACTCCACTGAAGCCAGCCAATTTTTAGCACTTGAAAAAGAATCGATATAGAAGGATGTGTTGGGACAAAACCAGACTTCCAGTAACCAAAGTCGCCTGCCAGCTTTGGCTTCTATTAGATTTTTATGAATATACTTACTTTAGAGACCGTGTAGGTAGTGTGAATCACCAGCACATCATCCATCAACTTTATACAAGTCTCCTCATGATTAAAACCATCACCAGCACACGAGACACTGGCAGAAGGAGCCGGCAGTGATTGTTGCTTGGCAGGGACAGACCACGTGCAACGCTGGGATCCAACTTGGAATGACCTGACCCTCCAGGAGTTGGGGGCTACACACCAGGTTTGGGACCCCCCCCAAGGCAAGGGGGAGTTGCATCTGATCCCCCTCATCCCTCAGGCTCCATGTTATGCCTTGGGATCAGCTGTCCCTGCAGGGAGACAGCCTGGGGCTGGACCAGGATGCAGCCACCCTGTGGATGCAGCCTGTGTCCCGCAGATATGGGGCAGAGGGTTGTAAATAAAAGCAAAATATTGGGCCAGGGAACAGCCTACACCCCAAAATATGCCTGCAAAAGCTGTCTGGTTTCACTTCCACTCCCCAGAGGCCCCCTCCATTCCCCTAAAGGGAAACAGCCACAGGATGTGGGAAATCCCATCACTCGCCAAGTGATTTGTGCCACCAGTGGCAACCAAACATTCCCCATGGTGGGATTTTACAGGTCTGATGGCCAGGGAAGGACACACTGAAGGGACAGGCTCCACTTGGGGCAGTGCCTTCACCTTGCACTGCTCAGCACAGGCTGCAGGAGCTCAAGGCCTCATCACAAGGGAAACAAAGCATTAAAATATCTGTGGTCTGAGACAGCCCACAATGTGCAGTCACATCTGCAAGGGGTCTCCACTCCTCCTCCACAGAAACATCCTGACTTTAACTGGGACATGACAGGCACAAGATGGATGGGAGGATAAAGGACCATGGCCTTAGGGGCTGTTGGGAGACAAGCTGTGCATAGTTAACGGTGTAACAGAAAACCCTTAGCAAGCTTCAATCATCTATTTTCTTCCTTTTTTTTTTTTCCCAAGGAGGAGGGAAGGGAGAAATTAATTTTGAATATTTTCCCAGACACCAGAAAATCCTGGATGCCCAGATCTCAGTCACAGCCCAAGGAGTGCCTGACAATGTCAGAGCCAGCAGAAACAGCACAGCACCAAGCTTTTGTGCCTTTATTTTTAAAACATAACAGACTGGTAAGATTTTGGGGTAGAGTCAGACAAGGAGGGAGCTTCCATGGGTCCCAAACCCTGTGGATGAGCCCTGCAAACTCCCCCCAGCTTTGAAGAACAGTTTTGCCAAATACATTTATCATCTTCTCCCTGAAGCACAGAGAACACCTACACACCCCACACCTCAGCACCAACCAGGACCAGCCCCAGGAGAGATGGTGAGGGGCCATTCCCCAGCCTGGTGGCATCTCCAGCTTCTTCTGCATCCCATCCCCTCCCCTTTCCCTTGGAAACCTTCAATGACAGCCATGCCCATCATTCATCCCAGCAGGGCCCAGAGGTGTTCCTGGAACAGACACAATTAACAGCAGCAACGGCGTATGAATGAGGAAAATCGCGTTGAGCTACGAGCATCTGTAAAACAACCCCCATGAAAAGGCTTTGTCACACTTTGATGGGATAAGACAAAAGGATTCTGCACAAGATTAGGAGGATTCAGAAGGGATGTCTCTAAAAATGGTGTGTTCCTCCAGCGAGCTTGGCTCCTTTAGTGCTGATTTTCTGTGATGTCTGACAGCAGCCAGGGGATGAATCTCTCATATTTTCCTGGGTTGCTGTGGAAAAGTTAACATTTGAAAGCTAAATGCTCCAAGACACTTTGGTGGAAAACCAACACTGTTAACACTCAAAGAATGATTTAGGTTGGAAAAGTCTCCAAGATCATTGAGTCTGACCTGTGACCAACCCCCACCTTGTCACCCAACCCAGAGCACTGAGAGCCACCTTCAGTCATTCCCTGAACACCTCCAGGGATGGGGACTCCAAACCTCCCTGGGCAGCCCCTTCCAATGCCTGAACACCCCTTCCATGAAAAAATTCTTCTTGATGTCCAAGCTGAACGTCCCCTGGTGCAGCTGGAGGCCGTGTCCTCTCATCCAGAGG